TCGGAATGTGTGCGGCGCCGAGAAAATCCATCCGCTCTCCCGTCGCAGCGATAACTTACGCCGCGAGCTTTCGCAACAACAATAACAACAACAGTCCCTACCACCATGTAGTACACACCAGGCTCTGGTAACAGACTTTAAGGAGCGCATAGCGTCAATATTATTTCCTCACCCACAAGCGCGCCGACCCACGCCTTACCTCGATTTTTTTTTTTTTTTTTTTTTTTTTTTTTTTTTTTTTTTNTTTTTTTTTTTAATTGCCTACTTGTACCCTCCCCGCTTTTCCTTCTTATTGATCTTTCGCGCTAAATTATTCATGGCTTTGAAGTTATATGCGTTAATCGTTTTGCACATTGTGGTAAATAGTGATGCACATGTGACTATACAAATTTATTAAAAAAAAATGTTGGACTATACCTCCACATCATATGTACCATTGATCATTATCTTAGAGCTTTGATTTTTTAGTCATTAAGTACGAATCGAAGTCGTTTTCTGTGGACTTTTTCTTTAACAGTGTCGCTGGAGCGCGACAGCGTCTCTCTACCATCCGGCTCTTACGGAAGGATGATTACTGATTTGATATTTAGGTGGTTGTACTCATTTTAATTGCACAACCTATAGGGCTGTTGACGAAATTATATGCGTTTGACTTTTGACATACTTAGTACTCGAGAGACTCTTGATTTGGATTAGATGCAAAAAGTCCAGCTTGTCTAGTTTCCCTCTGGGTCTTTATAAAAGTCAATGAATGTACTTTTTTTTTTTTAATTCTTGCTTAAATATCATGACTTTGATCGTCAAGGGTGTTGGACTAATATTGAGATAAAATAAGGGAGGAGAAAACTGTTCGGACGACGCGTTGAGTAAAACAAAAAAAAAAAAAAAAAATACCAAGAGTCAGTTCATGTATCAAGCTCAACATCAATTACCAATCGGTCCTTTAACGAATTTTTCTAATTCGCGTACAAGCAAGTTGAACTGTATTTTTGCTCTCCCGCTCTTTCCTCCCGAAGAAAAAAGGGGTGGGGGGAGCAATAGAAGAGAGCTTGATGGTTTTAATGGAGGATTGCCCGGCGATTGGAGAATCGAGGCCAAACTCCGACTATCGCTTTTAAACGGGCGTTCGTTTATTTAATTAACAGAGCTTCGCTACGCTCGACTTGGCTGCTGCTATACTGCGCTGCCTTCGAATTTACTTTTTTTTTTTTTTTTTTTTTTTATCTTCAACACGTACCTTGACGAATATCCGTTGCTCTGGTAAAATAAGTCAGAGTTTTTTTGAAGAATGAAACAAAAAAAACATCACCTCGACAAGCACAAGAGCAAGTAGAAAAAAAAAACCAGAGAGAAAAACTACATTCTACGGCGCGCCAAGGCCTGCCAAGCGCGTATACAATATCGAGCGAGTAGTTTTTGCCAGTTCCATGTTGCATTCCTACACGTGTATATAGACGAGACACGACGGGGACGACGAGTGTACAAGTATACCCTATAATTTGCGAAACTACCTCGAGAACAACTACACCGTAGATGACGATACTCTGATTGAAACAAAAAATCGAGCCTATAATCGTAGGCGCTAGAAATTCTTTTCTAATCCCACCCCCAGAAAATACAACAATGGCTATAATATATACTTACATACATCGCGATACAGAGACGCTTCCATGAAATTCCACGCGTCCACGTGTTAAAATCGATGTAAATTTGACGATGATGTCGGTCAATAGAATATATTTGAACAAGTTTTTTTCCTGTACATGCACTCGACGACTCTTACATACCTTGAGCTCAAATTACTGCGAATACGTGTAGATTCGATCGAGGATTCGATTAAAGGAAAAAGAGTGAAAAATTTTTGCGCGCGCGTTTAACACGGCGACAATGGCACTGCACGGTACAGCATATCGCGAGTGCGCGTGCGTGTAGGTATACTTTTTTTGCTCTAGGTACATGTAGGTAGATATATACTTGCGTGTTAAGTATATACATACACTGGAGATTTCGATGCGTGTCGGAATGCCAAGACGAGAGAAGCTCCGCTCGATTTTCCTCGTCATCGTCCTCGTCGTCTCGAGAGAGCGCGCATACACATGGCTCGTATGATGTATTGTACGCGCATACTGGACGATCATTAAAGTGTCCCCTCTCGCACGTATTATGTACGTGATGTAGGAATATCATGTATGTATATATAGTTTTATATACCCAAGAAATCCGTGGGTGGTATTTCTACCGAGAAACGCACCAGGACTCATCTGGCAAACTTACAAAGTTCTAAGATGATTAATTGCTTTTTTCTTGCTTTCTCTGCTTTGGTTCGAGGAGAATTACTAGATTTTCCGCATATAGTAGGATTTGTAGTTTTCGAACTAAATCTCCTGATAAATTAATACAATATTTTTAAAAATCACTCGAACAAAGATTTATTGTCAGCGTTATTTGTTGCATCACAGGATCATTAAGCAAAAATGTCTCTAGTACCAAGACTATGTATTGTAATACCCATCTGGTTCTTTGAAACTATGGCTATATCCATATATACTACTCAAAGATATAAATTCCTTATCGATTTATTTTCTCTTGTTAGTCAACTGGAAATTTTGAGTGAGTTTTGAAATTTTACGAGCTGTCGAATAATTAATTTCGACCTTTATCATTTGCAAGACCATGTGTATTTTTATTTCCTAGAACAAAGAAAGAAAAAAAAAAAAAGATTAAATAAAGTAGAAAAACGTTGTCGAATCCAATGACACGTTGCGGCTGGTCAATCATTAACTCATCAACTCGGTCGGCTAATGCGCGCATTATTTTCGTGTTGCGAGGAACCGAGGAATTCGCCTCGAGCGTGCGTCGTCATCTCTTTTTACGGGAACTCGTAACGCGTCTCCCTCTCCCCCTTTATACACACACACACATTCCACTTCTCTCTGCTTCTTAGGAAGCCTCACAAATTATTGTACGTCGCTCCGTGTGGCGACGAGGACGGCTCTCACGAGCTACCATACGTATCTTCGGTTTCTCTGTATATATGAGGATAATTAAAATAAAAATTACTCGCGAAACTATACAAAGGTATAATAATTGGGGGTGTTTTTTTTCCGGAAAGGGGACTAGAAAATTGGAAACCGCGCCAAATCGATCGTGCAGGACTTCAATTTGTTGTTCATCGCTGCGTCTTGATTGCGGTGCTACTTTTTTTCGTTGTTTTTCTCTCTCTTGATCGCCAAAGCACTTACCGCCCAGTGAAATGAGATCGTTATGCACGCACAGAGTTGAATACATACAATATGGAGTAACGTGTTCCAAAATCTGGATTTCGAGGTCGCGGGCACACACGCGCCCGTTTGTGCTGCATCGACGTTTATTGCGACGTACGAATCGGTAACGGTTAATTCACAACGCAAACGATTTTTTTTTTTTTATACACTTCGAAATCCCCCCATAAACGCATACCCAAAGTCCCTTGGCCGTCTGATGCTTTCTTTAATTTTTTAATGACTCGAGAAACGAATAATTCCGTCCTGCAGCGGTTGTGAGTCTCTCGACGTGGAAATAATTCACGCAAGAGATAAAAAGGAAGCAAAAATGTAACACAGCCGTATAGGGGAACTCCAGAAGGGACGGATTTATCGCATACCAGTTGGGGGGAAAAAAAGAGTATGGGTCGTTATCTGCGCGACTCGGTTGGAATTTCCGGAGAAGTACATGTATATATACATGTATATAATACGAGCTCGTTTGCGTTTGAAGAAAGTGCGTTGACGTATACGCGAGGCCGATAGATTCAGGTTTCGGTCTCAAGCGGCGGTGGTTTTCATTTGGCGCATCGCATTCTCTTCGAAATTAAGAGGGACCCTCATAGATTCTCTCGATGTAAAATTTGATGCGATTTAATTTGGTAGTGGTACAGGGTGTGGACAGCTTTTGATGATTTTTATTGAATAAATATACGTATGGTGTAATATCATTGAATATAATTCTGTTGAAACTACTCACTCGTAGTCAGGCATTTAATTATTCGACGTTTTTTTGTATTATCATCTAAAATTCATTGAGACCATTAAAAAGCGCTTATCGACGTTTTATAACGTTATTATTTTTAAATATCACGAATGTGGAATTCGAAGTATGAATGACTCGGGGCAGCATGAGATAACCGAGGAATTTTATTTTCAGAAAAAAAAAAATTTATCGATTTGTTTGATTTCGGCAACATAATACATATACCTGATGAGTTTCTGTTAAGCGCTAAAATCGATCCTGCCGGATATGTATATATTCGTAGTTATCTCGTAAAATGAAAACAGATCATCTTTAGCATTAATTACCCGATTAAAAGTCTGATTTATCGAAAAACGCCTGTGCAATCGATGAATAACCAAATGCGAAACGCGTCACAACTTTTTCTTCTTCTTCTTCTTTTTTTTATAAAATAAGGAAAGAAAAAAAAAAAAAAAATTTCATTTTCCCAAGGCAATTACGTATTTCAATAATCACGTATGTAAGTGGTTTAATCGAATGCTAAAATATGCAAATTCAGGCTTCTAATAATAAATGGACACGGTAACCCGATGATATATTCACCGAGCCAAGATATCACGCACTCACTTGCTCAATATATATACTCCATGAAAATTCATGAAAAATGTAACTCGCCTATCTACCTACCTACTACTTATACGTAACGACGAGTTATTGCTGCTGTTGAGGATATACATCCCAAAAGTTAATTATTACTCGAGGCTTCGACTTTCGAGCACGTGGAGTTGAAAGGATAATCCAGAAGGATTAAAATAAAAAAAAAAACCTAAGTCCGAAACATGCATCGATCAATTAACAACGTATATGACACTCAATCACCACCAGAAACATCCAATCGATCACAGCTCGTTTCCTCTCCTCTTACATTTAAAGTCGTGATGGTAGAGAGAATATAATAAAAGCCAAAGAAAATTGAAACATGAAATAATTTTTCTCTGTTGTTCTGCTTGCAGATTTACCAAGCCCCAGACGTTCGCGGACTGCATCGGCAACGAGCTTCCACTCGGTTGGGAGGAGGCCTACGACAAACACGTGGGCGCCTACTACATCAATCATGTTAACCGTGAGTATTTTTCATATATGCATTATCACATACCACCCGAGACTGTTAATTCGCCTCTCCTTTTTTTCTCTTTTTATACCACACTTGGTTCATATACCTACGGTTGTCTTGTTTTCATTTTCTTCACCTCGAGAGGTATATCATAAATATATATTCCATGCAAAGTAAATTCCCGTTTTGTCGATCAAACATTCACCCAATTAGAAGCGAGTAAAAGGAGAGAGAGAGAGAGAAAGGTAACGAAATGTTTTGTTTGCACAGAAACGACACAGCTTGAGGATCCTAGGCAAGAATGGCGCGCCATTCAGGAAGCCATGCTCCGCGAGTATCTGCAGACCGCACAGGACGCACTCGAGGTAAGTCCACTCTTTGATAGCATCGATCCCGTCGAGTATGTGTTTTTTTTTTACATCTTTAACGAGCAATATCGGAGCGCTCTTTTCATCTCTCGAACGAAAATTTTCACTCTTGTGCTGCTCGCTACGATTGTGTTGGTCGGAAAAATATAAATACACCTCGATCGACCAGCTGATTGTCCGTTTTTGAAAGTTGGGCATGAAAATTCACGAAAAATAAAGTAAAAAAAAACGAGAGTTGGACCGAAACACCAATTATCGACTCGTCGTTGGAAGGTGCAGGTGCGACACGTCTTTTTTTTCCACAGCTAGCTCGAGACTCGCTGATCTTTTTAGCAAAAGGCCGCTGAAAAACAAAGATACAGGGAGGTAAAAGAGAGAGGCGGTAGAGGTAGAAAGGGAGGGCCCAAATATTTATGATGCGGCGGCGGTGGCGCGCCGCAAAGGGCTTCGAGGGAGCGAAGGAGAAGACTCCAAGATTACGCGCGATGCAATTTATCATCGGCAGCGCGTTGTAGAGCGATTGCCCGGGCGATTTTGTTGAGGGGTGAGAGAAATATGGGAGTCCGAAAGTCGGTAGCTGAGACGCTTATCCGCGCGAAAATCGTCGAATTTTGGTTGTTTTTATTTACCACTGGGTTGTTGGTTGGCAGCGGTTATTAGATCCGGATTGATTTCGCAAACGTAGCCTTTGATTGATACCTCGATTGTAGGTACGAGTTATTACCAACGTATGGATGATAAAAATAATGGAAATCGTGGGAAAATATTAGCATACAAAGCAGGTACTCATATCAATCAAGGCTCACTTAGCGTTGGATTTTTTTAATAAACAAATAGTAGTTTTCCTACGAGTTTGAAAAGTCTCTGTTTGCGAACCGAGAGGTTTGCGGCCCGAGCCGAAGGCGAGGGACGTAACGAGGTTCGTAAAGGAGACTTTTCGAACGAGTTTTGGAAAACTGCTTTTTCGCCCGAGGAAGTACCAGCCTCCCAAAACCACCCAAGGGCAGAAATAGTCCTTTTTATCACCCATTTGTATACGTAGCTCCTCTCACTTTATCTTTGAACAAAAAATAGATATGAGTGAGAGTCGTTTGCCATTTTCGCCAATGCCACTTTTCAAGAATGAAGAAAGAAAGAAAAAAATGTTAGAATAATGGAGACATCAGATTATAAATGTTTATTTACAAATCAAAGCGTGGGCGATCCAACAGATACACAGCGTATTGGTTCAAGTAGCCTTCATTGTTCTATTGACAAAGAAAAAAAAAAAAACTTAAGTCATAGTCAGATTCTAATCTAAAAAAAACACAAACCTGTGTATATATACACATACGTAACAATTTACAGGGTGCGCCCGTGCACAGCTCTGTCAAGCTCCAATTGTCCCGACTAATTACTTATCCGATCGACCAAACGATCAACGGACTTTCCACCTACCTTATAGGTACATCTGTATCCATTATACCGTTGATCGCAAAAATTAGGGCACAGAGGTGAAATAAACGTGCTTATCTGAGGCTTTTCACATACGAATCAATCACTTTGTGCCACCATCTATCTATTCTAAAATTTCCCATCGCGAGTCGCAATTAAACGGCGATCAAACTGAAAACGATTTCATTGCGATCTATAGTTTATTATACGAAGCGTATACTATTATATCTTTCGCTTACACGTTGTATATCACACCGGCATCGGTACAATACACTCCTATGTGGGACCAAAATAAGGTTCTTGCGACTTCCCACGGAATCAAAGTACATAGATATACGATAATAATAAATGCACGATAAAGTATAAAAACACGCACTCAATTAAATTATATTATTAATTTTCTGTGACACGATATACGTTTTCAATCATGAATGCTTTCATACGGACTTTTTTTCTCAAAAATCATACCGATATTTGTATAAGGACTTATTGATCATGTTTTATTTCTAAATAATCCAACTCGTAAAAAAAAGAGGTTTTTCTTCGCGCGCTTATTATAAGTAGGTACATAATGTTATACGTTGAACGCCCTGCAGCTATTATAACGCGCCTTGAACTTGTATGCATATAATATATTATGTTTTATGGATGTGTACAGCAGTGCTGCACGAGAATTAGATGGATTTCACTTGCTCTCTCCTGGTGCGTTATACATAGGTGTATAGACGTGCACCGATGAGATCTGGGCTGTAGGTTCTCGCACGGCTGTATAGCTACAGGCTTTTTTTTTGTATCAAACATGACTGTTTTCTCAATGTTTGCGTAAGGATCGTTCTGTACTCGTTTTGTCTTCAAAGGGGAGATTAATTGGAATCTGCATTTGAATGTAAATCGCGTACGCGCTGATGTGGAATAGAGTAGATATTCGTTTTTAATTAGAACGAGAAGCTCGTGACTCGTGGCTGCAGTGATGCAGAGCAATGGTGCTTTTTACGTGGGATCGATGGGAAGAATAAAAATACCATGGATAGTAGAAAAAAAGGAATTGTACAAACCGATATGTTTTTTTTGTTTTGTTTTAATGGTTACTAATGAGAATTGTTATTGCTTTTGCACGTATTTAGAGTATTTTCTTACTTGACAAAACTTGTTTGGTAATTAATTTAACATCAACTGTCCTTAGGGATGAAAAAGAAAAATAGCTGGGGTAAAGTATTTCCATCGCTTTGGTCTGTAAGCCGTATACCTCGGAAAGAATTTGAAGATTCCACCTTCTTGAATGATAAGTATACGTATACGTGTGTTCGAAGGAAGTTCTGTAAATTCATTTTTGATGTCCACTTCCCGGCCGTACGCGGTGGGCGTCAACTCAAGTACAGTATACATATACCTATACACACGGGCACATGCAAGGAGAAGGAAAGGAGACAAAGAAAACGATCGTTCGTTCACTCCCGCGTGTATATTTATATACAAGTACTCACAGCAGAGCCCGAACCGAATACAGTTGGCGTAAATTAATGTTCGGCCATTTGATTTCACGGATGGGACCAGCGGTGTTCCACACCTTTATTTTTCCACGACCGGTAGCGCACAATGTGCGCGTTATTTTCCGTTTAATTGCGGAAGTGCCTCCACCCCGAATGTATACACCTACATCGTGCGCGTCATCGACGGAGAAAAAAAAAAAAAGAGTAACCAACCCAGCCCTAAACCGTTAGGTTCGCAATCGGCTTATTTTTATCAAAACGCCTTGCATTCCTTCCCCAAGAAAAATATATGTGCCGACGCGCGCTTACGCGAGCGGCACGTACACGTGTAACACACATACACATCGGAGCTACGCGAATAACTCGAGGTTTTCCGCAACCCGGTGCCTGCACTGCTGCTGCCTCGATTATGTAAATAAATACCTACTTTCGGCGACTCGTTTGCGCAAAACGACGATCAACCGGCGCGATAACACGCGATCTCGTTTAACCCTCGGGGGGGGGGGGGAAAATGCGCGCGGCGAAAATTTACGTCTTTGCTCGCGCGATCTGGTTAATACTTTTGCCCCCTTTTCGAAATATTTGCGCGAGGAATATGCGTATATATACGGAACTCCGTTGCCGGCTCCAGGGAATTTCTTCTACAGCCAATCGGAAAGTTGTACACGTGAATATAAATATAATACAAGGAAAAATTCATTTTTATTCGTTTTTTTTTAAAAACAGTTGTCAATTTTTTGCGGATATCTAATATAAAATATATCCACCTCTGTGCTTTGTTCATTTATTTATTTACTTAATACGCTTTCGAAAGAAAAAAAAAAAAAAGGAAGCCGAAGCCCAGGCAATTAATCATCCGCTCGAAAGTGCGGATGATAAATCAAGCAACGCGTATCTAGTCGGCTCGTGACAGCGCGAAACGACCAATATATGTTTCGAAGCAAAAAACAGAGAAAGAGAACGAAAAATTCATTCCAAAGCACGCTCGGTATAACGTATATATATATATATATATATATATATATATGCATACGTGTGTGCCTATAAGTATATACATACAAATCCACACGCGTATGGGCGAAAAGGAGGGAGGAGGAGCGCTCGCTCGTTTATATACAAATCGAAATAATTCATCTCGAGAAAACTCACTTGCCCAACTCCTCGTCCCTCTCCCCCTCCACGTCTGTCCGTAAATCAGCGCGGTTAAGTAGGTATACACATCCCGGGCATCGTGGCGTAAATCAATCGTCGCTCTTACACGCAGTTGCACCCATCGCGTATACCCACTTAAATGTGCATTGGATTTTACTCCGTTTTCGGATCCACATAGCTGCGGGGAACAAATAATAAAATTTTGCTTTCCGATGCATTTGCAAATACGCACATTCGTGCGCAAAAACTTTAATCAGGTACTATATACAAAACCGCTTGATTTACCGCAGCAATTTCGCGAGCGCGTCGTTGTTAATCACACGGGCGGTAATTGAAACCCAACTGTCGCTGCATTTTTCGTGAAAATCTCGTATGCGCGCGGATACAGGCTACATACGTATTACAAGCTTCGAAAACTCTGCTGCTCTGCCACGTGATTTATAATATACATGTACACACACGCAGCGATTATGATTTACAACTCGAGCTCGCACGTACGTCTATATAAATATATGGTATACTTTTTGTTCGCATCCGCAGCAACACCTGTAAAAAAAAAAAAAAACAGCTTCGCACACAGCCATTTGAAAAACAATCACTCGCTAACAACAGAAACAGAGAAATCGAAACCGATCGATTGCACTTCCTTTGCGCAAAAATACATCCACCGGACGAGCGAACAGAAAAAGAGAGAGAGGATACGTGTCTCGTTGAACCTATGTGTATACACGTATATATACATATATATGTATATTTTTTTTTATTATTATCGCACGCAGTGCGCAACGAGGAGGAAGTCGAGGGAGGTATGTGTATACGGTCGCTTCTCTCCCGCGCGTGGGAAATCGCGTCCGACTTCCGGCCAATGTATATACGAGTGGATTTCGATCGAGCACTCATCTCCCCCTCCCCCCTCTTTTG